AACTTTTGACCTGGAATATTTTGCAGGGGGTCTTTTGTGTTTTGTTTTGTTTTCTTTCCTCACACCATTTCTTCTTCTTCTCTGATTATGGTACAAAACTCTTCTAAACTTTGTGAAGTCTCATGTCATAAAAAGTAAACTCCTAGTTAGCTCCTACATAAAAATCACTGGGACTAGGGCTAATCTCCTTAAAGCTAATGGTCCTGAGGTCAACAGGGCCTCACCCCTTATGTACACATTGGACTTCCCAAGAAAGCCCATGGTCAATTTGCCTGAGCAAAGAGACTGGCATTGGATCCCAAGACTTTTGAGATTTACACCTATACCCTGAATGAGTTCGCACAGTGACCCAAGGTAATGCAACAGTTTTAGTTAACAACTCAGCTCCTGCCCACTTCTTTACAAAAATGATAAGTAAGGTACATTCTTCTGAGGTTTACCTGAGTCATGCTGAACGTGTTTGCATATACCCTGAAATTCCATAATATAAATACGAATATTAAGACACCACACAGTGGATAAGAGATTGCAATTCAGCTTGGGTTGTGTCTGGTTTAAAAATTTTCATTTGTTTACTTGTCTTCTTGAAATGAACAAAAACATCAAAAGATTCCATCTTTTCTTGACAAAACAGGAAAGTAAAATGGCTGTTTGGCAGTTAATATTCTTTCTAACAATTCTATACTATGGATGGTTACCACCCACCAATTCTCACCTCTCCCAGGAATGAATTGTCCCTGGAAGAAAATGGGGAACTGCCTTCAGCTGATGTGCTCTTTCTCCTTTGTGTTCAAGGCAATCTACCAAATAAGGAATTTAATTGTAAAATTGTTAAAAAGCATGTGTTTTGAGGTCTCCTATACTAAATGGGAGGGTTAAGAAACTGTTTTTACTGACTCTTCAGATGTTAACCAATTTGAAAAACCTGTAACTCTATACAACATAAAGAAGGCCCTTTATGGACTAAATCAAATTTCTACTTAAAGAAATCTGCTCACTTACCGTTTACATGTTTGCCTCTTTGTTTTTTGATTCTCAAGTGAGTCAAGATTATGATATAACCTGTGCTTTGTTTCCACCACAGTGGAATCTAAACCTGATGTACAACTTCATTTTGGAGAAACAACTGTCCATCAGCCATATTCCAGAAGAATATGCCATTGGTTCATTTGATTTTGCTAGGCTAACTCACTAACACACTCCAAATGAACCTTTAACTGATAATCAGTACTCAGTTCTCAAAGGGGGAGCAAGGGAGGGCTGTGCACAGATGGGGAAGGAGAGATGGAAAAACAAAAAGCTTTCCTAGCTACAATCTGACTTCTCTAAATCTGAGGACAGAGGGAATTAATGTCTTTGGTCTCTCGAATTCAGATCACTTGAGGTGAGTTAACCACTTCAGAGATGCTGGGATGGCTAACAGCCCTGGTGGGACCCAACCCTTCCACTTGCCACCCTATTGAACTAGGGCCCTGAAACACTGGAAGAGCTGAGCTATGGCTATTAGCATGTCAGAAGTCTCTCCTTCTGGAGAAAACAAGTATTCAGGACATGAGCCATGAAAGCTCAAGACCGAGGATGGGGATTCAAAGGTAAAAAGCCCACTAAAATAAAATGAAGTAAGTAAACCAAAAGATAGTCATTCCTTAATAGGCAGTTTTGTTAAGTGCACCTTCAGGTCTACAAAAACATTTCAGCACATTACAGTGCAAGGGGTAAGTAAGAGCTTTGTCAAACTTTGCATGCCTATGCTACACAGATAATCCCTGTACTCCATTCCTACTGACTTGGTTGCAATGAGCTACAGATGGATAAGCAGCATTCATTTCCCCCCTACCACCCAACTTCATAACAACTCATCCCAGATCCCAGGCTGACAGGCTCATGCATGCAGCGCTTTTTCTTGTAACACATGCAGAAGAACCCCAGTCCAGCAAATCTGTGAGAGGTATACCAGGTAGCCAAAGCCAGTCTCATCAGTCTTGGTCCCATTTTTCTCATCCTCTGACCCATCCATCCCATAGTACTGAGTGGATTATTGCTGTTGACAGAGTGCAGCGTTTCAAGTTCTGTGTGTCCTAGACCTCAAAGTCTAATTAAAAGATCAAGATATCCCCAGAAATTTGGGGGAGGTTGGCTTTTTTTTTTCCCAACTGGTGACTTTTAAGCAGGTAGGAGAGGAATAGCCAGGATGAGTCAAGGTTCAAAAGAGAAGGAAACATCACAGGGGAGGGTTTAATGCCCTGTGGTCAGATGCTGTGCAATCCTTGGCCCCTTGTCTTCCGTGATGTTACATCAGTCTTACAGATTCACAAAAGCCGCATGGGAAAACAAAATATCCATGTTCTTTCTTTCAACTGAGTCAGCCAGTCTGGGTGTTACTCTAGCTTCTTGGTTTATTGCCTCACTGCTAGTTCTAGGATAAGGTGGGGGAAGGGCTGGAAGTAACAGGGAAGATTTCCAGAAGAAGCAGGGCAGGAATGTAAGGTGGGCAGCAGCAGGCAGCCACATGCTAAGTGCAGAATGAAGATTCCCCACCTTGGTGTCCTTAAAAGGCTGTGAGTGCCTCTCCATTGGTGGACAGTTGCTGGGCCCCCAGAGGCCTATGTTATGTGACTCTCTTTCAGCTAGACTCAGGGTCCCCACCATTCTCTGGGCTGAGTGCCTGGGGCAGCAGAAGTTAGATGCTCACCCTGTGAAGTGACTGCCAGGCGGAAAGATCATAGGAGCATCATAGAAAATATCTAAAAGGAGTGGGCCGGGAGGGAAGGCCCAGGAAAAGTTATTATGAATTCAGTGTTCCCACATCCACACTGATGCCTGAAAAGATCAGACAATCAGAGATTTGCAGAGTGCTCTTGCTAACAGAGGAGAAATAAGGAGCTTTGCATGGAACACTACGCTGGACCTGAGGAAGCCTTGCAAGTCCAGAGCGGCCCTTGACAGAAAACAAATTCCCCAAAACTGAATATTGGCTTCTGGTGAAGGAGAGGGGAAAAAACAAGTTCCCGGTTCATGTCCAGTTCGAAGATGGGTCTCGGGTCCCAGTTTACATCCCAGATCAGGCTGCCAAAGGGACCAAGTCCAGCGGATGGCCAGAGAGACAGCACCCTCCTGGATCTCTCCTCTCCCAGGTTTCAGATGGTGTGGTCTTCTCACAGTGGTGAAGTGAGACAGTGAGGGTGGAAAAAGCAAAAGCAAAATATCTGTGCCTCAACCCTTCCTCCCTTTTGTTACATAACATCTCAGCTGTATTAATGGAGGCACTTTCTGCAGTTCACTGTGGGTACAGGATAAAGGCACTAAGCAACTATTAAATCAATTGGTTGAGTTTCTTCAGGGAGCCTCAAGGGGAGGGCTGAAGTCTCTACAGACTTCAAATCATGACTGCAAAAAGAAATCAGCTCTGCTTTGGATGCATACAAGAGATAAACATGTTCACTTACATCCTAAGAATGCACCAAAAAACATGCAGTATTGCACCTTTTTTGTTTGTTTGTTTTGCTTGTGTTTATTTTCAGCTAGAAAGAATACTTGTTCTTAGGTGTTGCTATATATACCTTGATGACTTATTTAGTTTTCCACATAGCTTCCCTTTAAGGGATGGGCATATTGGTCCTCTCTCTGCCTACACCTGCACAGAAACCTGACATTTCCCTGAGCGAAGGCAGGAAAATCAACTGAGTGCCCCCCACCCCCCACCCCCCCATTATTTCTTTTGGGTTTTCATCCCACAAACTTTTAATTTATATGATTTAAATTTTTTTTACTGAAATCATGCATTAATTAATTCAAGGTACACCTTAATCAAATAGGCCATAATGCTGAATAAGAGAACATGCTTTGAGCTCCAAAAAGTTATTGTTCCCATCTGACTAACATATGCACTTAAATACAGTACTTTATTTACTAATAAAATAGTGGATAAATGAAGGAGTGCACTTTCGGTGAATGCAAATGAAAGAGGATGTATTTTTAGAAGAGTTGATTCCAACGTAAGCTTATCCCTTATTGTCTGAGTTAACGTTCTTGGCATGCGATTATAAAATAAATATGATCAGATTCAAACATGCTTACATTTAGTTCCGTTTGTGCTCTCTTGCAATAAGGAGGCTAAGGTTTTACATCCAGTTCTGGAGGCCAGGGTTCAGAGTGCAGGACTGGTGAGAAAAGACCTGTGTTTGGCTCACCTGCAGTTGAGGAACTTAGCAGCACTGCAGATGAATCAATTAATGTAATTCAGTTATCTTTTTCTTAGAGAAGAGTTTGGATTAGAAGGGGAATGGGGCAGAGGGAATATCCCTAAAGACCAGGACGAGTATCAGATTTATAAGGTGCTTCATGAACCAGTCTTAAGTAATTTTGCATGTGTGTGTGTGTGTGTGTGTGTGTGTGTGTGTTTTCACCTTGTCATATACAGTTAGGTTGGTCAAAATAAAAACAACATTTGTTCATTGCCCATTTTGGCTGGTATATCATGTTACATATAATACATCAGATGCACTGTCTTAAATGTGCTGTGCGGTTTGCAAAAGTTTTATAATGGAGTCCCATGCAAACTGAAATTTTATATTTCTAAATGATCATCTGGTTTCTAGTTAAAAGAAAAAAAATTAAAGAAGCCGAAGGATTAAAAACGTCTCAGTATGGGGAAGCATATGAATCTTAGTTTACCTAGACTAGCTCATGGACTGAATTGTTTTAAACCAGTATTAGAAAATACACTTTCTTTTCCCATTTTTTTAATAAAATGAAAATAGCTTCTCTTTTCTTGTATCTTGAAAGCTTCTGGTTCGTCATCCCCCAAAATCCACAATGCAACAATGCATTGACAGTTAAATAGAGCATTCAGAGACTAATTAGTAAAGTATCTACAAACAGTGATGTCAGTCACTAGGGTTTTTGTTGTTTGGTTTTTTGTTTTGTTTTGTTTTGTTTTTAAGTCTTTCAAGCTACTAAGTGGGGCTTTTGTTTGTTTGTTTGCTTGCTTGCTTGGCTTTTTAAACATCGGTCAGTAGCTTGCTCTTATTAACGCAGTTTTGGTTAGCTGTGGTACAATTGCCAGTTCTGATATTGGCCTGTCTATAATGGGCTATGCTATTATTCATATCCTCTTCGATCTCCATGTACTCAGATTTGCTGATAGTGGAGGAACTGCGCCGACTGAGGTCACTGTCAGAGGCTAAATTAGGGGAACTAACGTGGAGCAACTGAGCCTGCTCTTCCCCCTCAGTTTCTCGGTGGTAGAAATAGTTGAAATTGGACACAATGACAGGTACGGGCAGGGCAATTGTCAGCACACCAGCGATGGCACACAAGGAGCCCACGATCTTGCCTCCAATTGTCACAGGGTACATGTCACCGTATCCTACAGTGGTCATGGACACCACCGCCCACCAGAAAGCATCGGGGATACTGGAGAAGTGCGACTCAGCTTCTTCCGCCTCGGCAAAGTACACTGCACTAGAAAACAGGATTACCCCAATGAAGAGGAAAAAGATGAGCAGCCCTAGCTCTCTCATACTAGCTTTGAGGGTCTGGCCCAGGATCTGGAGGCCCTTAGAGTGGCGGGAGAGTTTGAAGATTCTAAAAACCCTTACCAACCGGATGACCCTGAGGATGGCCAGCGAAGTGGCCTGCTCGCCCTTCTGGTTTCCCTCCTGCTCGGCTATCTCGGTGCCTAGGGTGATGAAATAGGGGATGATGGCCACAATGTCGATGAAGTTCATGATGTTTTTGAAGAAGTCTGTCTTGCTGGGGCAGGCGAAGAAGCGCACCACCAGCTCAAAGGAGAACCAGATGATGCACAGGGTTTCCACGATGAAGAAGGGGTCCGTGAAGATGTTGGAATTGTAGATAACCGTGGTGTTATCGATGCGGTGCACGGTGCCTGTGAAGTCCTTGTCATCCTTCAGCTCCGGTAGAGTCTCCAGGCAAAAGATGACAATGGAGATGAGGATGACCATGACCGAGACGATGGCGATGACCCGGGCGGGCCCCGAGCTCTCAGGGTACTCGAAGAGCAGCCACACCTGGCGCTGGTATTCCTTTTCGGGCAGGGGGCGCTCCTCTTCCTTGATGAAGCCCTCGTCCTCCCGGAACTTCTCCATGGCCTCCTCGCCCAGCTCGTAAAATTTGATCTCCTCAGAGAACATGTCCAGGGGCACGTTGACCGGCCTCCGCAGGCGGCCCCCGGACTGGTAGTAGTAGAGGATGGCGTCGAAGCTGGGCCGATTGCGGTCGAAGAAGTACTCGTTCCTCAGAGGGTCGAAGTAGCGCATGCGTTTCTTAGGGTTGCCCAGCAGCGTGTTGGGAAACTGCGCCAGGGTCTTGAGTTGCGTTTCGAAGCGCAGCCCGGAGATGTTGATCACCACGCGCTCGCAGCACTCGTGGTCGTCGTGCTCCGCCGGCCGCGGGTAGCTGCCATCCTGGGGGTGGCCTGGGGTGGCCGAAGCCTCGTCCACGTTCTCTCCAGACATCACCGTCATTGTGGAAGCAGGGCGCAGGGGTGAGAGACCAGGAGAAGGCCGGGGGTGGGAAGCAGCGGGAGAGGAGGGGTGGGGGGGACCCAAGCGCCCCCCCCACCGGAGTGCGCAGCTTCCCCACGCTCAGGGGAAAGGGCTTCAAAGCCAGCAGGTGGAGAGATCTGTGACTTCACTTCTCCTTACCTTCCCCTCCACCCTGCCTTTTACTCAGTTTGGAATCCCCCTCGCCTGCGGCCCTGGGTGTAGCTTTTTGCCGAGGGTGGAGTGGGGGGAGGATTGGTGTATCTTCCTGCTCCGAGGTGCCTTAGCGCAGTGCCGTTCTAGCGGACCGGGCCATCACTTCGGGGGTCACCCTGTCCTCCCCTCCCTTCCGTGAGCCCTCCTAGGACCGGGTGCAGAGCCAGCTCAGCAGATCCCCTCGCCTGCCACCCCCTCTGCTTCTCCTTGGCTCTCCCCCCTCCTACCCCTCTTCGCCTGCCGCCTTCTAAGCTCCCACCAGGGCGATCGATGGACGCTGCAGAGAAATAGAAAGTGATACGGGGGTAGAAAATCAGAAGCATTCAGATGGGACGGACCTACAGACACCGAAGAGCACAGACCTCTAGCTTTTTTAGAAAGCACTGGACTTTTGCTAGGGTTAGCACATACAGACAGACACACGCAGACACCCGGAAATCCAAGTTTGGGCTCTTCCATCCCACTTTCCCCAATGCCCGACAACCGATCTGTTTACAACTTCGTTAAACTAAAGATCGGGAAAGCGCCGAGAGACTCCCGGGGAGTTCCAGGTGCCGGGCAGCATCCCCACACCCTCTGCTTCCCCCACCCCGCGCCCCTGCCCGTGCTTCTGCAGCCCCGGACTGGGGAGCCCCCTACCTGGCCGGCCGGCTTGGCGCAGGGGCGGTGCTGAGTCGGAGGAGAGCCCCAGTAGGAATGCGGCAGGTCGCCTTTGCAGTACCCGGGCGGGAGCGGCGGCCGGAGCCGCGGCAGCATCTGAGAGGCGCCGGGGCAAAGTCGCCGCCCTCACCCCCTCGTCCTACGCCCCTTCAGTGGGACAATCGATTGAGCGAGCCGCTACGGCGAAAATGTCCGTTCCCTTCCCCCATTCTCACCGGTCGCCAGCAACCTAGAGACGCCGTCCTCTCGCTGGTGCAGGGAGTTCCGGAGGATGCGGGGCGGAAAAGCAAAATGCCACCCTCTCCCGAGGCTCGGAAGCAAATGACGATAAACAGCACTCTCGCCCCCTCCTAACACTATGGGAGCCCTTGATTCAATCCCAAAGGAGGCGGGCGAGCAAGAGCCTGGATCTACATGGCTCTCGGATCTCCTCCGCTTCCCGCACCCCAGCGTGGACCTCGCCGAGGCTACGCGGCGTGCCGGGAGCAGTTAGGAGCTCCGAGTGGGGCAGGGTGCGTGCGGCGGCAGGTCCGCTCGGTCCATTTCTGGGCGCTGCAAGATCAGCAGAAACCTGAGAAAGCGCCTGGAATGCGGAGCAGCGATTGGCCCACTCGGGCGTGGGTTGGGGAGGGCGGGGGAGGGCAGGAGCGAGGAGGTAGATGGAAAATATGAGGGGGTGGCTTGGCAGAGGGGGGTTGTCATTCAGTTCCCACCCTTACCAGCACAGCTTTTTCCTCCTGCTGCCAGAAAAGCCGACCACCAATCTACTTCCCTTATGGTGCACAGCCCCGCACACGCACGCTCCCTGGCCGCGACCTTCCCAAGGAATCGCACGTTGGAAATGGTCAGGTCCGACGCAATGCAGGCAGCGGTGTTCCTGGCAAAACTCCTCAGATGGGCTTGCGTTTGTGCAGTCCCACGGTAATCGGCTTCTGCCGCCATGCTCTGCGTGCCATCCCGCCCCTCCCGCTGGGGTCTCTCTGCAGGGGTGACCCAGCTTGTCTCCCCTGGACTGGGAGAGATGCGCACTTTGGGGAGAGCTCTGCAGTTGATCAACTGGGTTTATCTGTGTAGTGTTACTGCGAGGCAGTGGTGCTGAGTCTGTCCCCCCTTGACCTAGGATGGGAGTTGAAGTTTTCTTACGATCAGATTATTTTGAAATACGGAGAATGCGATTTGTGGGCAACCAAAGGCTTCGTGGGTTTGTGGGGTTGTCTGCCAACTTGGTGCTAATTGGAACGAATCTGAGAAGCAAGTCGCCTGCCTACCTCCCACCTACGTCCCTCCTCCCGCAGCCCCTTTTCTCGGCCTAGTGCCTCCAGAAAGCCTCTTGCAAGGCTTGCAACTTCTTCGGAAAGGGTCCGCACAGAGGCGCAGGGCAACACGAGCCGGGGCGTCCGCGGTGCTCTCAGAGTGCCGCTACAGCTGCTTCCCCAGAGGCGCTGCGCCTCGGCGACCTCAGCGCTCCAGGAGGCAGCCTGCAGCTCTGGTACTTTGACTGCTACGGAGTCTCCAAGGAGGACGCAAGAACCCGGAGTCGCCGCTGATTGGTTCCCCTGCTGCATTGGGACCACCCTTCTCATCACCGCAGATCGCTTTGCTTCCCGCCTACACCAGCCACCACTTTAATCAAAGCCAGTGATTGTATCCTCCCCACTCTGTTGTGGCTTGTGGAAAGCAGAGGCCTGTGCAGGGTTGCCCAGGCAGTGCAAAGATCCTGGGTACGGAACTAGTTAAATCCCTCCTCCAGATTCAGACTCCAGCATTCCTTTCAGAAAAAGAAAAGTACTTGTTCCCTCCACACCTCCGGATCCATACCCCGACTTTTCTTTTACGAACAATGAGTTCTCCTAAACTCCTCCGTCCCATATTCAACGCTGCCCTTTCCCCACCTTTCACACACAATATTCCTGTATCCTACAAACTCCATGGTCCCCTGCCTTTCTGCGGTACTGCTTTATTACAAGAAGGAGGGAAGGGAGGGGAGGAAAGGGGAGGGGAGAAAAGAAAGAAGGAGCTGTGGACTGAAACACTGTCAAGTCCCCAGTTTCTGCTGCTGCTGTTGCTGCTGTTACAGCCCCATGGGACTTTACGCTATTAGACCTGATGAACACTTTCTGACCATGTCCCAGCAATACTGGGCTTCCCTATCCTGCTTTTGTGCCTCCCTCTGCCTATAGCACCCTTCTTTCTTTTAAATGCCTCTAAGGCTGTCATCTCCCTAGCATCATGTGGATTGCACTTGCCCCAATTCAGCATTTAGAGATTGTCTTACTAAAAATGATTTGCAGACTGCATGGGATCCCAGGTTCCTAAACTCAGGGTTTTATTAGGAGGCATAATAAAATCTGGAGGTTTACAACATTCCTAGCAGGTGTATTTAGAGCAGGACTGTATTTCCAAGGAACTGGAAGAAAGATATTGAGCTAGGAGCTCATCGTTCCTTTCTTTTGGGGGCAGGGGGCAGAGGAAGAGGGAAAGAATCTTAACAGACTCCAGAGCCCAAGGGAGGATCAATTTCACAACCCTGAGATCATGACCTGAGCCAAAATCAAGAGTAAGTTAGCTGCTTAACCAACTTAGCCACCCAGGTGCCCCAGAACTCTTCATTCTTTCAGGTAGCCCACAGTTGGTAGGGGTCTAAAGATATGTATTCACTCAAATATTTGCTTAGTCCAACCTTTGTGTCAGTCATATTCCAGCATTGCAGACAGTAATAACTATGACATGTGAGGTCCCAGAACTCATGGAGCTCACATTCTGGTGAGAGACAGACAATAAAAAAAATAAATAAACCACACATTATAACATTAGGTAAAGAAAATTAAGAGAAGGGGATCTGGAGTAACAATTATAGATCTGCATGGACAGGAAGGGCCTTTGCAGAAGTAACATTTGGACAAAGAAATTCAAGAAGAGAGAGAAAAGGGAACAGGAAAACAGAAGCATAGATGTAGGAGCAAAGGCAAAGATCCCAAGGCAAGCTTAGTATATTTGGGAAACAAATGAGCACCAATGTGGTTAGAAAGAAGTAATGAAAGGAATGTTGTAGAAGGTAGGTCAGAAAAGTAGGCAGGGACCAAACCATGTAGAGCCTCTTGGGCCACTGTACAAATATTTCATTTAGAAATATAATATGTTCCATGTCATAATATAATATGATTTGCCACTTTTAAAGATTATTCTGGCTACTGGAAATAAGGCATGAGATTGGAGGTTATTAAGTGGCACAGGCAATGATGGCTTAAACAAGCAAGGTACTAGTAGGCTTGTGAGTAGTGGTTGGAATAGAATTACATTTTGAAAATAGAGATGGCAGAATTAGGGATGTGGGGGAAAGAAACATTTCAAGAACATCTCCTAGGTTTGTAGTCTTAGTAACTAGGTGGATGGTGATATCATTTACTGGAGTGGATTGGACAGCTTCTCTTTCACCAGAATATGAGCTACATGAAGTGTTAGACCTTGTGGGTCTTGGTTATTACTGTAGTGGACAGCTGAGGCCTCTCCTCAGATGCTTTCTGCCTTTCCATTCTTCTTGCCCTGCGGCCACTCACCCTACCTCAGCTGCTGCTGGAACACCCAGCTGTGCATGGGCAACAGAGTTCTGCCTCCTGAGGTTGACCACACTGTGATGATTTGGGTTTCTCAAGACTGGAAGAAGGTCCAGGTGAACAACACAGCCATTTGGAGGCATTAATTCAATGGACCAGTGGGAGCTTGCCCAGTAGGAGATATGAAATATTATGGAGCCTATAGGTAAATTCCTTCTCCTTTAATCTTTTCAGAGATGAACAACCAAATAGTCTAGTGACAGGGCTGCATCTCTTTGTGCCTCGTGAAGCATTTGACAGCTTGGTAACTCACCACCTTGTATTTGTACCCTAACTTCCTCATCTCGCTTCCCATTTTCCTTAATTTCATTGCACGGGGGATCACACCTTCCATTAAACCATAAGTCTTGCCTTGGGTTCTGTCTTCTAGGGAACCTGAGCTGAGGCAGAAGGAATCAAAACTTCAGCTAAGTTTGAGCTATCTGTTAAATACCCAAATGAAGATGTTGAGTAGGAAATTGGGTATGTGAGTCTAGAGTTCAGAGAGAAGGT